ATATAATTATATAAATATATAGTTATATTCTATTATACTCTAAGATAGACTAGATATATATAAAGTAGACTATATTATTAATTATAGACTTAATAAGAATAGTATCTAGAAGTATTAAATCTATTAGAAGAACTATACTAAGAATAAGAATATCTAGAAACCTATAGTATATATCTTAAGTACCGTGATATCTATATATAAATAGAGGTTATAGAATAATATATTACTACTATAAACCTAGTACTATTAGAGCTATTATAAAAAGAAAAAGAATACTATAGAGAATAAAGTATTAAATTATAAATCTTAAATATATACTAGGAAAACTCTATAGGGTAGGCCTATAGTTTAAGTAATATATAGTTACTAAATATGAAGAAAATATAAATAACTATTATAGATATATAATATAATATATTATAATAGAATAATATAGAAAAGTCTAGAATAGACTAATATAGACTATTATATATAAGAAAAATATAGAACTAAGAACTTAAAAAGATACCTTCTAATAGAATTAAATATATAATATATAATATAAAAAGTTAGAGTACCTAAACTAATAACTACTAGACTACTAGTTTAGATACTCTAATATAATTTAGAGAGATAAACTAATTTATATATATTATCTAAACTTAAGTAACTTAAAGTAAATTAGAATCTAGAATTTAATAGTTATAGAATAAATAAGAGTATATATAATATTATTAAATTAAGAATTAAATTACTAGAAAACTAGTAAGTAGATATCTAAACGGTCTAAAAAAGACTAAAATAGATAGAAACTAGATAGATAGAGCTATAATATACTATATAGAAACACTAGTATATAGACCTATAGAGCTATTCCTTTATTTTATTCTTCTTTTTAGAGTAAACTAACTAATCTAAAAAGATAATATAGTAGTAGAGATTAGATACTAGCTATCTAATTAACTAGAGTCTAGTAGAAGAAGAACTATATACTAGACTAGAGTAACTAGATCTAAAGTTAGCTAATATAATCTAGAATAATCTAGAATAGAATATATACTCTCTTATAAGGTAACTTAGAGAGAGAACTAGTAGATCTCTTATAAGATCTATTAGTAGTATAAGTTAGATAAAAAGAGATATACTAAATCTCTTCTATAGTCTTAGTAGCTAAAACTAACTCTTTAGAATAGATAGTCTAAGTACTAGAAATCTTATAGTAACTAAAAATTATAAGCTAAGATTAAGAGTAATTAATAGTTTCTAAACTTATACTTTAATAATCTCTAGAAAGAGCTTATAGTATTTTCTAAACTCTCTATATATAAAGACTAGATAACTACTAGAACTACTAAGAGTCTTATAGATATAAAGATTATTATATATATCTTATATATAAATAGAAATCTAAAAATATATTAGTATAGATAACTTTAGATTACTCTAGACTAAAATAGTCTAATAGACTTATCTAAAGATAAACTTTACTAAGAATAGTATAGTAGTAGTAGTAGATAGATAGAGTAAAGATAGAGTATATAGAACTATTAGAGTTAGTAGAATAATAACTAGTACTAGAGTTAGAGTAAAAGAGATATTTAGAGCTAGTTATATAAGTCTTAATATACTTATAGTATATTAAACTATAGTTTACTATTTTTCTATAGTATAAACTATAACTATATTTAGTATCTTTAGTAACCTAGATCTTATTATTAGTAGAGCTAGACTTAGAGTAAATAATAAGATTCTAAAGGAATCTAGAATAATTAAGTTAGTCTATATTAGACTAAAAAGAGAAATAGTATTTAGAGTAGAGTAGTAAGAGTATAAACTCTTAATTATTATCTATAATAAGATCTTCTTTATTCTCTAAAGAAGATAGAGTAGATAGATAGTATAAGAAAGTATAAGTAGACTTTATAGCTACTTCTTCTATAATACTAGTATTAGAATTATCTAGATTAGAGTAACTAATAGCTATCTTAGTAGTAATAATAGTAGTAGTAGTCTTAGCTATGTTCTTCTCTAACTTAGAGTATATCTTTATACTACTATAATAAGTAGACTTTTTAGCTAGTATAGCTAGAATAGAGGTAATTTCTTTAGAGTAAGTCTTATAAGAGAAGAAGATAGACTTAGAAATAGAACTAGTATTAGATATCTATATATATATATTAGCTAGAGATCTAAGAATAGAATACTCGTTTAGTCTTAAGAGTAATTAAGAAAGCTAAATTAGTAACTATAATAATTTTAATAGATTATATAGAACTAGTTCTAATAAGAATAGATTACTCTAGATCTAAACGAATCTAAACTAAAGGAGATAATATATAAATTAATAACTTATCTTAAGAGTAAGATAGATATACTAAAGAAGAAAATTTAGAATAAGAGAGTTAAATATAAGTTTAGTTAATATAGTAGTTATATAACCTATAGAGCTACCTCTAAGGTAATAGCTAGAAAGTAAGAGATAAGCGCGTATATAAGCTAATAAAAGTAAATTAAGATTTTAAGTTTACTAACACAAAGGCTATTAATAATATTATATAGGTTTAATTAGATATATATATAAATATAATACTTATAGAATTATAGATCTATATATAGTTAAGTACTTTAGGGCGAAGTATAAAAAGAAGAAGAATATTATTAGAACTAATACTAGAATAGACTTAACTAGACCTCTATAGTCTAGTATAGTCTTATAATAGATAAATCTAGATTAAGTTAGCTAGATTAAGTAAGGGTACTATATAAGTAGACTATATATACTTAATTTCTACTCTTTAGGAATTAACCTTATTATAAGAGTAGACTACTCTTTTAAATATATTTCTAAATCCTTCTATAATCTATTAGACTACTATCCTAGGTCTATAATCCTTATATTTACCACGCTATATATATAAGTTAGTATCTACTATTAAGTACTTCTATATATAGACTAGACTTATATATAGTATAAGTATCTAATAGAGATAGACTTAAGTTAGATTATATAAGAGATTAAAGATAATCTAGATATCTCTCTAGACTAGTAGAATCCTTAGAAGCTTATATAGACTATATAGTTATAGATCTAGAATAGATAGAGAGAAGCTCTTTAAATCTATTAGATATTCTAATAGAATAGATATCTAGAATAGATTTAAGAACTATAGAAGGAACTAAGTAAATAGATATATAAAGGGCTTATAAAAGCCTAGATATCTATTCTTCTCTAAGTCTAAATAGAAGCTATAGAACTTCTATACTATCTATATTAGAGAGATATTCTAGATATATCTCTATAGTATAAAATATATAGCTAAAGAGATATAATATAATATTATCTTATAATATACCTAGACCTCTATATATAAAGATAATTACTTATCTATATAATAAGAATCTCTAATATTATATATTAGCTTAATAAGTACTCTAAGAAGATTACTAGATAGATACTTATATATTTTCTACTCCCTTAGTACTAATAGATCTAGATATATATATTAGAAGAAACTAAATATATACTAGATAGACCCTAGTATATACTAGAAGAACCCTAGAAGAACTCTAATTATTAGTTAAGGGTAACCCTTAACTAATAACCTCTATACTCTATATATATTATCTAAGGATAAAATAATAGTACTATAGATTATAGGTCTATAGGTATTTCTAATAGCTATATACTTAAGATAATATAAAGACTTAATAAGATATAGTTATAGAGAGAAGGGAGTTTTTCTTTTATAGAGGTTTCTTCTTATATAATAGCTTAGACTAGAGAAGGTATATATCTATAGAGTAGACTACTCTATCTAGTTATATAATAATAATAATATTATTATTATAGTTATAGAGAGAAGGAAGTTTTTTCTTTTATAGAGGTTTCTTCTTATATAATAGCTTAGACTAAAGAAGATATATATCTATAGAGTAAACTACTCTACCTAGTTATATAATATTATTATTATTATTATATATTAGTATTATTATATTCTATATACTATATATATATATATATATATATATATTAGAGGTTATTATACTTAGTATACTCTATTAATTAATATATATAGATTACTATATTACCCTAAATTAACTAGTTTAGTCTCTTAGAGTATAAAGAAGTTTTTTTTTAGTAACTAACTATAGTTATATTTAGAAAATATATACTTTATAACTATCTTAGATTTAAACTATTAATAATCTTAATAAGAGCTATCTATATCTAATCTAAGTAGATTATCTAATTTTATAGATTTTTCTCTTATTAAAAAGATAGTATTTAAAGATAATAATTAGCTACTTAGTATAAGTCTTATTATCTCTTAGTATATTTTTAAAGAGTAGAGTATAGATTACTATAGATAATAGTAATAGTCTAGATTTATATATAGATATAATAATAGTAATAGTAAATAACTATTAAGAGATTATCTTCTAAATATAGTATTATAGGAAGATATAGAAGGTATAGTTATTAAGTATTTTAAGATTAAAGATTAAGTATATATATAGACACGTACTTAAATCACATGGTTCATTAGGGGGTTAGCTTATTAGTAGGGATATCAACTTAAGGCAAGCACAGGTAATCAGGATATTTGTGGATGCCAATGACGGCCTTTCCTCCTGTCAGTGACCGCTGCAAGCTGTGGAATATTATCCTATAAACACGCCGTTGTCGCTATTAATTAAAGAAAAACAAAGTACAGGCGAGACACGTGACCCTGACAGTCGAACTCATCCTATGGCAGAGCCATTCTCAAAGTAGAATTTATAAGGAAAATTTGATCCGGGAAGTAACGGAGAAGGCATGATCTCATTGGGCAGGGATTGAGTAATTTTCGATATCGCTCATATAGTGTATCGGTTTTCAATGAAGAGACAACTCCATCCAACCTGCTAGTGAGCGAAGGGACATACAAAGCATCGATCGTCCACTCCGGATGCAGCCCCGGCGAGGTCTCCGAATGACATGCTGGTGCAAATACTGAGCTGCGCCGTCTCATTGGATGAATCTACGAAGCAGCAGCTGGAGCTGGAGCACCTTCCGCGCTCTCGGGGGCTTCCTTGGTCTCCTCACTTTTCCCCTCGGTTGTCTTCGCAGCATCAACAGCACCCTCGCCTTCGGCACCATCTGACGATGTCCAAAGGGTTAAGTTGTCACGGAGGAGTTGCATGATCAGTGTGCTATCACGGTAGGACTCTTCCGATAGAGAGTCGAGCTCCGCGATCGCATCATCGAAAGCAGACTTGGCCAGATGGCACGCGCGATCCGGAGAGTTGAGGATTTCGTAGTAGAAGACAGAGAAGTTGAGCGCAAGGCCGAGTCTAATAGGATGGGTAGGAGTAAGCTCAGTTTGAGCAACGTCGGTGGCGTTCTAAACTCAGAGTCAGAATTATGATTCACTGTAAGTTGAAAGATTAAACATACCTTATAAGCCTCGTGGGCAGCGGTGGCAGCGACCTTGCGCTTCTCGCCGGAAGCGAACTCAGCGAGGTATCGGTGATAATCACCCTTCCTTTATTTTCGGTAAGACCACTGTACTGACACAGCTCCGTCTTCAAGGGCGGGGTACAGGTATCAGGACATACATTTTGTGGTAGAACACCTTCGATTCTCCGGATTCAGCTCTAGGAATGAGCGACTCGTCAAGGACATCGAGGACATCCTGACAGACATTCTCGAGCTCAAGCTCAATCTTTTGGCGATATTCACGAATGGTTCCGACGTGCTTGTCAGATCCCTTAGACTCCTCTTTCTGCTCGATTGAGGAGATTATACGCCATGAGGCGCGGCGGGTTCCAACGACATTCTTGTAGGCAACAGAAAGGAGGTTGCGTTCATCAACGTTCAGTTCTTTGTCGGTCTGTTGTGAAAGTTTGTTAGATTTGGTTTCATGGTTGCGCTTACCTTGCACGCAGATGATGTACTAGGCAACTGTTGGATGTACCTTTGCGAGCTTCGCAACTTCCTGCAAGACGACTTAGTTGACGTGAAAAGATGACCAAGTTCAAGAATACTGACTTTCATATAGCTAACCATCTCTTGAAGCAAATTTGCGTTAGTGTATGACCAATGTTGTGCTCATTGAGGCTTGGCTCACCATCGTAGCGCTCAGCCTGCTCGCACAGCCGCGCGAGGAAAGTCTTGCTGTCATTTGTTCAGTCTCCAGGTTCTCTTCGTATGAGATATGACCAAGTATAGGATACCTTTCGCGCTGCGTGGTGTCTACGTTAGCTATCGTTTCCTGTCAAGGTTGACTTGAAAGAATTGTAGAGGGGTCGAGCATTGAGGGGAATCAAATGGATCGGGACCGAGCCCGCTTGTGTAGACCATAAAACTTACTTCGGTAGTCATGATCGTTGAAAGTCCTGTGTGTGGCGGATGAGGTTGACAGTCGTTGATCAAGTGTAGGAGAATCAAAGGCAGGTGGTGTAGGTGGGTTGGAGGTTGCAAGAAGTGGGTGTTTGTCTGGGAGAGACGGGATCAAGTAGGTAGTAATGTAATGTAGGTCGAGGTTGGCGCAAGGCCGCAGAAGACACAGCCAGCCGCTGCCTGTTCACCTGTCTGGGCTGCACCCGCTCACACGTTACTGACCTAGCTTCGTTTTAATAAATAATATTAAATCGCACTTGCCTATACGTTCTCGCCTCCCCCTACGCCTGCTCCTCGAAGCGGCGAACCACGTTGTTTAACAACTAGCCTGATCACGTTGCGTTCTCTACGGTTATTCAGACACTACGTTTTCGGCTCTGTAGCGTGGGTACGCAATGCAACAGCAGGGGCAAGAATCTCAGCTTTGATAGAACTTGTTAGGGATGCATACAGTCTTACACTGAGTGCATAAGTCGCGCGATCACTACCACGATATCATTTTGTTCATTCCCTCTTACCCATCACAGCTATCTATCTCTAGTCCTTCTTTACTGCTTGCGCTCAGACAGCAGTCTGTGAAGCTAAGCTACGTGACAGAAGTTGAGGGGTTGGCATACTTCGTTAGGCGCCAATAGAGCCACTCCGTTAATAGAAGACACTCTGTACCTAAAGCACACCTAATGCGGTCCGCTCCTATGTATGGTGTATGCGTCTAACAAACACGTTTGGAAGAGAAACTTCACAATCAAACTCTGTTATGTTGAGAATTATGGAGAGCAGCCCATTTGCAGCGTTTCCTACATAGTGCAGCCCATCTGAAGTTCAGCGTCGCAATACATGTTGCGAACGTTTCATTGTTAGTTGTAGCCTGTGTAGATCCTCTATGAGTATTCCTTTTGCATTCGTGAACGTTCATCGGATGTTGTTGGTGCACTCCGGGTTCGTTTCACTTCCAGCTTGACATGTACAGAAAGCCGTCAAATAGTGATATCCAAAGACCATGTAATGGTTGTTCCGGATGAATAAATGTAGCTTGACTGATTCAGTAACTCACTTAATTACTACATCAAGAGACGCCAAGCACCAAGAATCAAAGCTGCTGTGCCGGTGCAAACTCCCCTGTTGGAGAAACATCAGCGAAGGTGTCCGGTCATGTAGGGGCCGCAGCCAGGGAGCGTACATGAGCCACTGCAAGGTGGAAAACTTTACAGCCTCAAGCTTCTCACGTAATTGAGCTGTCTCTTGCTCGATCCTGGTCTCTGTTTCTTTGAGCTTCAACTCTTGAACATTGGCCTCTTCTCGGATTCTGCCTTTTTCAAGGTTAAGATCGAGTCTGACAGACGCTTGAGTCCTCTGGATCTCGTCACGAAGGCGCGAATTCAACTTTGTGAGCTCATTCGTCAAACGTTCGTGCGAGACGCGAGTGAGTGACGATTCGGTAGAGTCCGCAGTCATGAGTTCAGAACGAAGTTTCGCAAAGTCGACCTTCTGGGTGTACGTTGCTCGTTCTTGATCTTCACGCAAGACCATGGTTCTAGTCAAGTTTTGAATGCTGTGTGTATCATTAACATAAGTCAAAATAACGGAGACTTGTGTTGCCCCGTACCTTTCCTCGATAACGTCATTGAGCACTTTCATCATGGCAACAGCCTGCTCCTCCGAGAATCCTTCATCTTTGAGTCTTTGGACGAACTTCAATGTGTCAAAATGATGATCCCGGGCTCGACTCAGAGAAGCCGAGAAACCACGGCGTTGACAAGAGGCTATACAGTGGTTGCGATATTCTGGTGGGTAGCTCAAAGATCCTTGCTCGCAAGCTTGGAGCTTTCTGGTGTGTATTATTACTGGTACCGGCGTGCTCGTGAGTCGAGTTTTCGTTAATGTTGAATATTTGCATCTGCTGATGTTCCGAGGAAGCCAAGTCGGCTGAAGTATTACTGATTGTAACGCCATGACAAAAGGCTATTCATGAGTTTCAAATAATATAAGAAGAGTAGACGGAGGTACTTATTATATAGCCGGAAAAGTAAAGTAGCTCTATAATATCTCTTGATACTTTTTAGGTATCTAATAGATATAGTATAGATGCTTAGATAGAGTATGATATAATAATATATTTATTATAAAGAGAATAAGAATATTATAGAGAATAAAGTACTAACTAAACTAAGAGATATATATATATATATATACTTAGAAAACTCTATAAGCTATCTCTAAAACTAAAGAATTATATTCTTACTATATATAATAAGTATAAATAATTACTATAGTTCTATAATATTATATAGTATAATAGAATAAGATATAAAAATCTAATATAGACTAGTATATACTATTTTATACTAAGATAAATATCTAACTATATATTTAAAGATTAATTAAGAGATAATATCTTATAGATTTAAACTAATAATAAAGAAAGAAAATTAAAGTATATAAACTAATAACTATTATATTATTAATTATATACTCTAATAAATATTAAGAGAATAAACTAACTTCTATATAGTATATTATATCTTAACTACTAGTACTTAGAAAAGATAAGTCTAGAACTAAGAAGTTATAAATTAGAAAGATATATATATATATAATAATAATAATAATAATAATAATATTATATAACTAGGTAGAGTAGTACTCTATAGACCTATACCTTCTCTAGTCTAAGCTACTATATAAGAAGAAACCCTATAGGGAAAAACTTTCTTATATCTATAACTATATCTCGTTAAACCTCTATTTCGTCTTAAGTATATAGCTATAGGGTACGCCTATTAGCCTATAGTCTATATTACTATTATTTTACCCTTAGGTAGCACGTATAGGTACGGAGGTTATTAGTTAAGGGCTACCCTTAACTAATAATTAGGGTTCTCCCGGGGTTCTTCTAGTATATATTAGGTTACTACCGGCGTATACCGGGTCTCTTCCGATATATATTTCTAGGTCTACTAGTACTAGAGAAGTAGTAGATATATAAGTATCTATCGGGAGACGTCCTTAGGGTACTTATTAAGCTATCGTATAATATCTAAAGTCTTTATAATATAGATAAGCTATTACTATTATATATAGAGGTTAGGGTATATAGCTAGATAGTGGTATATTATACCTCTCCGGCCGTACGCCTTATACCATAGGGAGGTGTCGGGAACGCCTCTCTTATAGATGTAGTATAGGCCTCTAGTTCAGAGTTAGATAACTTCTATAGGTTCGACGTGCCCTATACCATTAGACTCTACTTCTATTTTCGCCTTATCTTATCCCCTCTAGGCTTATACCTCTAGCTCTACTAGGAGAGGTAACCGAAGCCTCTCCTAGCTAGGTAACTATAAGGTTTACTCCTTAAACTTATAATACTAGCGTACGTGCCTTATAGGTAATATATTCTATCTCTTTATAAATTAATACGCGCATCCATTCTCTCGGGCTATATAGTAGTCTCTCTAGCTAGGATATAATTCTATCTACTTCTAGATATACTAAGGGTTAGAGCCTATTAAAGGGGTAAGGTCCTTAGAGCTAGTAGTTACTACTATATACCACGCCCCGCCTTTAAGTATTACTACTTTTTAGTTTCGCGTTATCTATAAGGATCTCTCTATAATAGGCCGACCATGTCTTATAGGAGAGTATCCTCTAAATCCCTTACGTATATACGCCTAGGCGACTTAGGTATTCTCTTCCTACTGACCCGACTTATTTCTACTACTCTTAAAGGGTCTCTATAGCTACCTCCTACCTATATCTATATACTATTATCTATATACTCTAGTATTCTACCTCCTATAGTAGACTATAATATCTCTTATACGTAGGAGCTACTCTACCTATTAGTAGTAAAGTAGTATCTTATATTAAGCGAAAGGTCTTAATAGAGTCGTGCTACTAGTAGTTATACTAGGCGGCTTAATAAACGTAGTTTAATACTATAGAAGAGTTAGCTTTAATAAGTTCTTCTACTAGTAGTTTCTTAGTTACCCTCGACGTGTTCCTTACGTTTCTAGAGCCGTTTAAGCCTTAAGGTATCCTATTACGCTACTAGGACCTCCGCTTCCTCTACCTAGTTAGTAAGATAGATTTAGGCCTACTTTCGATATAGTAGTAGCGCGTTAGATGGTTTTCTTATCCCTTTATTCTCGTGAACTTCTCTTAACACGTTAATTAGGGATAGGATAGAAGTATATACTTCCCTAGCTAGGTTATATTAGCGTGGTTTAGTAAGGTAGACGCTCCGCGAAAACTCTTTAACTATCTATCTAGCGACGACTAGGTCGCCATTAACGCCGCTCTAAACCTCTTACTACCTCTATAGAGGCATTGCCTAGCTACGACGACGTGGACGCGGTTCGTAAGGCTTCGTAGCCTATATATATAATATTATTAAGCTAAGAATTAAACTAATAAGAAACTAATAAATATATATTTAAAAGATTTAAAAGAACTAAAATAGATTAAAAGTAGCTATATAGAGCTAAAATCTACTATTATAGAAGACTATATCTATAGCTCTATATATATATCTAGCTATAGTTCTATAGCTATCTTTATACTTAAGAAGAATATTTTCTTATTTATTTTATATATTATAAAATCTTAATTACTAATACTTTAATATTTAGCTTTTCTTATACTATAATAGATTATAAATAAAGACTAAAAAAGAATATATAGTTATTAGTATAAGTAGTATAAGAGATAGTATAATATATATATAAGATATCTATAATACTATAGATAGTCTTAGATAATAATCTAGAATAATATTAGATATTAATAAAGAGAACTAATTATAGATACTTAGAATAGATATTCTAAGTAGTATACTAAATAATTAGAAATAGAATAATAGTATTCTAAGTAGTATATAGAGTACTTATAATAAGTATTCTAATTAAGATACCTTAGTAGAACTATATAGATTTCTTAACTTTAATCTCTAGTAATAGTTCTATAGTAATTAATATTTAACTTACTATAATATAATTACTACTTTACTTATCTATTAGTAAGTTATAATTTATACTCTATTAATACTTATTATAACTCTATTTAACTCTATTTAAGTATTCTAAATATATTTATCTATTAGAAAGCTAGAATACTCTATATAATAGACTACTTTAGAGATAAGCTATACTTTATAAGAAAGGTTTATTATATATACTTTATAGATCTATTTTAGTATTAGATTAGTAGATATAGTTATTAAAGAATTAGTTATAAGTATTATATAACTCTATTCTATTATCTTAGAGAACTAATTAGAGTCTATATATATAAGCTATCTTATAAAAATAGAATAAGAGATATAAATAATTACTTTATTAGAAAAGAAATAACTAATACTTTCTTTCTATATAACTTAGTTTAAGAAATAGTAGATCTTTTATAATATCTATTAGTAGTATATAAAGAGTAGTAAAATATACTATTCTAGACTAGACTAATCTATCTATATCTATTATAGTATATATTCTTAAATATTCTAGAAGAAAAGTAGAGACTTCTATTAGCTAATAGCTATAGAGACTATAAAAAGAGAAATATCTCTTATTATTATAGACTTTAGCTTTATCTTATTCTAATTATTATATAATAGAGCTAGAATAGATAAGACTAGTAAAGAGATATTATATAATCTTACTTATTCTATATACTCTAGATACTATCTATATCTAGAAGAATAATAATATTCTACTTCTTAAGTTAAATTAATATTAGAGATTTATTATTATTATTATTATTATTATTATTATTATTATTATTATTATTATTATTATTATTATTATTATTATTATTATTATTATTATTATTATTATT